ACGTACGTACGTACGACGAGAGAGAGAGAGAGAGAGGAGGAGGAGGAGGAGGAGAGAGAGAGAGAGAGAGGAGGAGAGAGAAAGGAAAAAACGAAAAATGAAAAAACAAACTGTAACTAAAGTTTACACGTATTTTTATAGAGTTACGCGTCATGCATTATGCATACAGCTAATTTTATTTTGACGCGCGTCATAAACACTCGGTACCAACTCGGATAGATTATCGTCGTCTCGTTTCACGATAACTCGAATCGAAAGCGGCGAGAAATGACACGCTTTCTGGGAACAAATTGCGATCGAACGATACAACGACGATAGCAAGGATAAAGCGAGCCTCCTCTCGAGCCCTCGTTACTGCTTTGACCACGATGCAAGTGTATCTCTCCCCTCCCCTCCCCTCCCCATTATGATCCTAATTGCGCGCGCAACGAACGCTTGTAAAATAATCAAAGATGGCCGCGTCCACGAAGCTTTCCTTCGTGATTAAGTTGCGTTTCGACGTGGCACGGGGCCACGGAACGCGGAATTTTTGCCGATTGTTTTGCGGAACGGCCTCGAATCAGTGGTAATTGATAACCGGTTTCTCTCGAGCTGGCTCCCTCTCTCGTGTCGGGGGTATCGAGACGACGCGCTCCTCCTTAATGAATTCACCTGATTGGACGCGTATCTTTCATCGCGTAGATGCTCGAAATGTTTGCGAATTACGAGCAAGAGAAAAACGAGAATCTCCGTCGATCTCCACGGAGAGGGGAAGAGGCGGTGTTTGAGGAAGGGCGCGTTACGCGGTGAAACGTGTCTCGAACGCGGCCGCATTCGTGTTTAGAACAATAAAGAAAATGGCAAAGCGCGCGCGATACAAAAACGGCTAGCGGATTCGCAGTTAAGCGTCGTCTAAGATAATTGCGACACGCTTAAGTACTTGTCACAATTTCACGTGGTCGCCGGCTTTCGCTGGCAACGATGAAAACCGGCAACCGAGCGAGAGAGAGAGAGAGAGACAGAGGGAGGGGGAAGAAGGTAATAATCGTTAGTCTCTCTCTGCAAAGCGACGTTACGTCACACGGCCGAGTTTCTACCCGTTTAACGACGATTGCTCCGACTATTCCGCGATCGATGCCCCCACTCCCCACACCTTATTCCCCGCTTCTTTCTCCACGGATACGAAATCGAGTTAATTTCGCCCGTCATTTCCATTAGAAAATAACACGCACGCCTCGCAGGATTAACTCGATCGACCTCGCTCGCTCCATCATCGTCCACTGACAATTTTCGACCACCATCGATCGAGCGTACAATTGGACTTGGCTTGCTTTTCGCTACGGTTCATTCCCCTTTCCAGGAATCAAAGTCCATTCGTAATTGGTTTACGAATAATCGTAAGCTCCATCGATCGATTGGCACACTTTCCTTCTTTTTTTTTTTTTTTTTTTTGCGAAGAAACACACACGCGTTTGCATTTTATTAGGCGTTTGGCGTAAATGGAAAAAGGAAAGAAAAGGGGAAAGGTGGAAAGAATCGGTGGTCGTTAAAGCGTCCTAGGGGAAGCAACAACACGGTTCTCGCCGCGTTTCTCTCGCATACGGCTACCCGTGGTGGCTGCTATCGCGAATATATATCCGTCGCACGTAAAGAAGAAATAAATTCCCAGCGGGCCGTAAAGAAATCCGTACCGAAGGCGTGCACCATCGGCTTGGTAGCTCGCCAACGAGGTTAGTGGGATTTGAGATTTTCGATAGCTCCTTCCTACACGTATACGGCCGTAACGTGTCGAGAGTCGAGGATAAACCGGCGTTCTCCTCTCGCGTGGACGCGTTCCTCCTCGTGTGCACGGGAATGCTCGATCGTGTGTCTCCTCCTCGGACTTCTGCTTCTGCCTCTGCTTCCCGTCGTCGCGTCGAAACCAAGAGAACGAGCCAACGGGCTTCTTCCTCCCTTCTTCCTCTCTCGGCTAATTTGCATGTGACTCGCGCGACCGAGTTCGATGCACCAAACCTTGCAGCCTTCGCGGATGCTTTATCGCTCGAAGGAGAAAACGAGAGGCGTTTGACCGACCGCCTTATTTTTTTTTTTTTCCTTTTCTTTTCGTTTCTCTCACAATTTCTCGCCACCTAACGATAAATTTTTCGTTTGTGTTCCAGGTACGTATCGCCACGGCTTGTACTTGTATTTGTACACCGAAGATACCATAACAGGGTTCCCCATTGTGAGAAGGTAACCTAAGAGATTAGTCAGTCGAGGCTGATAACGCGTTATCACTGCGCGGAAGGCGTCGAGAGATTGTTACACGATTATCTGTGTGGCAAGCAGTGAAAGGTTACAAAAATGAAAAATCCCTCCCCCTCTCCATTCTTTGTTATTTTCACATTCTGATGTAATAACGTCAGTGGGTGTTTAATTTATATTATTAGTCCATTTCTGGCAACGGTATCTCGCAAGGACGCTGAGTCGACAGAAAGTCTCTGCGATTCCAGAGTCATCGTGGCTTGCGTTTCGAAAACAATTCGTAGATCTTTCGCGATATTTGCACAACGCTAAACGCTCGACTGTTTTTCCTTCTTTTGAATCGATTACTACACCATGTTTCTTTATCGATTAAAAATCCAAGACAGGCGAATTTGATCGTAGCACGTAACCATAAACGAGTGAATGGAAGTCCGTAACACGTTCCACGGTTAATTGTAATTCATCGACGGTAGGCATCGATAGAACGATGGATCCTTAACTGCGATCGATACACGCGTTCAGACCGGATGCATCGAGCGTGCAGTGTACCGGTAGTTTTAGTTCCGTTCGGTTCAAAGGCGGCACGGAAAGGCGGTATTAATAGTCTACGAGATTACCGCGAAGCGAGTTTTGGGTATACGTAGCAGTGGTCAACCGGTTGGTCGATTTTGGCCACCGCTCTTTCCCTTCCTCCTCGAATCGACATCGATTTTTGCTCTTTTCGAACCGGGTCAGCAAACTGTGGCGACCGACGAAGGACGTCAAGGGAGTTGGTGTCTCCTCCTTGCCCGAGTGCTTCCTCCTTTTCGTACACTCGCTCCCTCGCCAATGTGAGTGATGGGATGAATTGTGCATTTACTGGAAAAAGTTAAGGAACAAATTGATTATTTGCAAATTTTTTTTATCTTGTTTAATCTTTATGCACGCGTATTTGAAGAAAGATTTATTGTATTTGATGATATGGGCTGTTATCTCCTTATGTTATTTTTACTTCCAATGTATATATCTCGGAGGATGAGAAATTTTATTCTTACGTTTTGCCGGTAAATGCATACTCGTAGATCCAATGAAAAAGACTGTATATATGATAAGTTTCGAATCTCGGAATATCATAACTCTACAAATATAAATAGTTTGATATTAATATAAAATTAATCGAATTTTTTATAAATACGATATGAATAGATTTTAGAAAATTATATGGAGAAGTATAATATGGTTCGTATGAGATTATATTTAAACGGAACTTATCAACAAACTCTTGTTCAAATCGACTCGCGATACGTTCGATCCCATCGCTATTCGCCAAGCGCCTTCGCCGAGCCCTTCTCCGGCCACTTTTTTTTACTTCTTCGCAAAATTTGGAAGTCGCCCATCCTTTGGCTCGTTCGTGACGAGCATTCATTCCGACAACGACCAAAGTATCCTCTTATTGGCATTTCGTGGCGTTCCGTGGCTAAATCCGGATCCCCGAAGAAACCGATGCTTCCATACCAACAACGGATTTTTCGACCCCTCCTCTGCCTCTCGTAATTTCTTTCGACGTGCCGCGCAATTCTTGTCTTCCTCCACCCCGTTATACATTACACATATATATATATATATTCCTTTTCTCTTTTTCAAATCACCGCGGTGATCGTCGAACTCGGTCGAATAGTTTACGAATAATCACAATAGTCTTCGTTACAATGTTGCTCGATTCGAATGAGAGGAAACGTCCGCTTTATTTTCGCAAAACATCAAAGAGGGATCCGTGGCTTGGTTTATTTGCGGTCGTCGATGGGAAGTTTTGAAATGAACCAAACTGGTCGGTCCGCATCGGCCATATTTCAACGATTGACAGCAGGAAGTTGGCGTGCGGTCGAGACGAACGATCGAGTCGACCGGTCCTCCTCTTCTCCTTTCTATTCCATTTCTTTTTTTCTTCTTCTTCTTTTTCTTTTCACTCGATGAATTCACCTAACGCGCTCTCTTTTGTCCTTCTATCGCAATCAAATTCGATTATATTCGAGTTAATCAAACTGTCTTAAAGGATATTTTTTACACGATCATAAAGAAATACTTACTTAACACTTACTTACGAATCATGAGAATTATCTGTGTTCTCTGTTACGGCATCGGTGGCCGGATTCTTCACGGTTTTCATTGTTGTTGGTAAACATACCTGCTGGAAATATACCTGCTGACCACTGGGCATAGTTAGCAATAAAAACTATTGGCCTGCAATGTGAGGATTGCAATAATTAAGGTTGATCCTTACTGATGGTCAAAGACACAAATAGTTAAATCAGTCACAATCTAGAATTGAAGATGTTGATGCAAAAAACTGTAAATTCAGATTTTATTAAAATTGTATTCTTTGAATTTTTTTTATACATTTTTGAACTTACCCAATGAATCTTTGGGAAGAAGAATCAGCTATTCGGTTCAAAATTTCCAAGTTTTTTTCTCTCCATCCACTATTTTCGAGCCACGATTTCCCTTTGTGCGACTGAAATCATAGAATTTACTGTAATTTCGTACAAATTCTATCAAGTGTTGTTCCTCATTTATACAACAAATCAATTCCACGATTAAAAAGGATTTTCATTCATTTCACGTGATCTTACTTTCAAACTTGAATCTCTTTCAAAAGTTGCGTTTACGTTTGTGGCGAGTACAAACGATTGGTGTGAAAGTTTCGTGCACACAAAGATGCGAAAAAGAACGATAGTGACGTAATTAATTTAACGAAATTTCACGCGATCTCCCTCGTCGAAACGAAGCCTAGGAGAATCGAGAATCATCGTCGTGGTTAATGTCGCAATCGGCGTAGGGGCAAAAATTTCTGCGGTCCTCGACCGCAGAAAGATTTCGAATGAAACGTTTCAAAGCGGTTTTGCGGGAATGCAGCCGCGTACAAATTGTAAAAATATATATACGAACATGGCGTATCGACCGAGTATTTTCCCCTACGAGATGCCCCCGAAATCCGCTCCCTCGCGACATTACCTTTTCGTACGGCCTTGAACTTGAGGTGGAACTTGGAATTAATAAATAATATCCGTTTAAAAAAACTTCCCAAGAACGCAATTAAACAAGCATCGATATATATTTTCTTCTCGCTTATTCAACGGCGGAGAGACGCGATATTCCACTCGGTATTTTTCTCGGTTCATCCTGGACGGCCGCAGCCCGTATCAAGTGCGTGTATATTGCGTAACGCGTGCGCTCGCCAAGTCCCCTCCCCCCAAGGCACAATGGCGTTAACGAGCGACAATCGACGAGAAGACTGCAAACGTGTCGGCTTCGCTCGCGCAATAATGCGTTTCTGTTGACCGCGTTCACGCTCGCCGAGATGATTTTTCGCTTCTTCGATGACTCGACCCTCTTCTAGCTCGGCCGGGAAAGACGATGGATGCGTCACCGACTGGTCTTTCCAAGTGTCGTTTCCACGAAACGCATCCTGCTCCATCTTGAGACCCCCAACTCGAGTTGGCCTGTCGAGAGGAGCACGCGATTAATTCTCCCCGCGAGGGTTAAATTTATCTCATTAGAGGGTATATCATGGAAATCGGAGCGTCGTTAATTACACCCGACTGGCAATTAAGGAAATTAACGGATAGGTAGTTAGGCTGACCGTCTCACTGCTCTCTCCACGATGCAAATCCATTGTGCAACTTCGCTCCAGTTACATTCTACGATCCTTTGTTGCGAAATTTCTTGTTCTCTCGGCATATTAGCACGTTTTGCCGTATACATATTCCTGGCTCCGTGTTGCTGGATGTGTCGCGAGGAGGGACGAAGTTAACGCGCGCAAGGTGCGCGGCCAACCACGATAACCGAGCAACAACGTTGCGTACAATGTCTCCGGCCGCGGATGTCGATGACCCTCGAACGTCGGTATCGGGACGAAGGGGACGATGGTGGAGGGTAGAGAAGAAGGAGAAGGAAACGAAAGAGTAGAGGAAGAGATGGCAGAAGGATGGAAGAGGATAGGAAGGGAAAATAAAAAAGGCAACCTCTCGGGAAGAGGTGGAAGAAGAGGTTCCTCGTAGGCCGGACGGTGCGGTGGGTAGGAAGCAGGACGGGGTCGTCGGACCGAGCGGTGTGTTTAGCAGTTAGGAAGCTAATGGATGCCTTAAAGGACGAGATGGATACACAAGGTTGTGTTGCACGACGTTGCAGACTCTCTGATCCCGGTGTTGGCACCGATTTCCTGGTCCGCCACGCTACACCAGAGGGCAACGAGCACTTGATGCTCTGCTCGACTCCCCTACCTCTCCTCTTGACCTTGGGTCGTTGATCTTGAACACCAACCTACCAAAGACACGTATATATATATATATATATAGTTTTAATGTAACGAGTGTGTACGCTCTGTAGTTTTTAAATAGCATACCCCTCCCGTTTCAAAGTTTGTGGTTGATCCTCGGTCGTGGGAAGCATTCGAAACTACCAGTGCACGGAGACGAAACGTACCGCAAAGGGGACACCGGGAGCTCGATATTCGCGTTTGCCTTCTTCTCGAAACCGTAAAAGCTCCAAACCAAGACACCCTGACGCGCTTCGCGCCGATCCACCAACGGTGAAAGTGTGTATGAAACTTTCTATGGAGTTGACGGCACTAGCGCGTTCAGCCTCGGTTAGAACTTTATTCCCCGATGCGAGACAAGGGAACGAGGCTCGATTCCTCGGTAACTGGATCGTTCGTGAAACCAAAGATTCAGCGGGTCATCGTAGACCGAGGAGGAGATCGTCGACACCAGTTCTCGCTTTTTCGACGAGAGCAACGGGATCGAACGAGGTCCTAAGTACGCTTTAACTCTCACGCGGATGCCAAAGGCTCGTCGGTGAAATAATAACATAGCCGCTACTTACGAGAAACAAACATAGTGAAAGTATTCCCTCGTCTTTAAATATTAAACCTTGTGTTCACAAAATCAAGCGCAAACGAAAATTTCCACAATGGTCCTTGATGAATGAATGGCCGTTTGTGTATAGGCATTGCAAAATTTCTAAAAAAGAGAAAAAAAAAGAAGAAAAATGAAAAACTTGAATATTGCGAGTTTAAGAATTAATATAAAATGATGGATTATGCTTAAATATTATGCTTAAATATTGTGCTTAGTTAGGTTAAATTATCTCTACCGTATGAAACGAGTGAAAAAGATATTGTTTTCTGAACAGTGATGCTTGATTTCATCCATTCTTTGCTTTTATAGCATCCCTATATAACATTTTCAATTATCACTTATCCTTCCCAACAAAAAAATATAATTGTTTTCTTGTTGTCTTGATAATAATTACGATCTGTGCTTGGATCTCTAATCAATCTGCGAAAACTGTAAAACCGAACGTTCCTTCTCCGGTTTTCTCATTAACTCGGGATGGCCTCAAGGTTAACGTGGTCCGTGAAACACATATCAGTCGCGGAGATCGAAGAGCAGGAAGTGTCCAAGAATTTCTTCAACCGGAGAAGCTCAGCAGTGGAACAGTCCAGTTTCCTGCTCGGTATACCTTGGTGGCGCGTCGAGCTGCAACTTTGACGCTATTCGCGCTTCGTGGAGCTCGTAAATTCGAACCGTTGTTCGACGATGTCGTTGCCTGAGAACAAAGAAACGACGTGACGATTCCCTCGATCGGTCTTCCGCTTTGTGATGTTAGACAAACCTTCAACTTTGACGAATGGATCCCGCTACGTTTTCGCGTCCTGAGAAATTGCTTTCTTCGAGATATTCTGTTCTTTTCGTTTCCTTCTTGGAAGATGGCGGTAGGATCGCGAGCTTCAACGCACGCCTTGCGATTAGACCCTCCACGAAGAGGATTTCTTGCCACTTGGCTGTTCCAGCAAGTCTCTCGTTTATCCTCTAACGACTTTAATTTGGCAAAAAACTCGCACCGCGGCAAGATTTGCCTTCCTCTCTTACGGAAGCTACTGCCTTTCGATTCGAGTCGCGGGAAACCACGATAAATTGAACAACACTGCGTACATAATTGCATAACCATTTCTCACAGCTAATCTTACGAAGTAATATCAATCATGAGATATAAGTTTTATTATTTGTATATTTATAGTTGAACTTTTCATTTATATATTGGGTAACAAACACGTTCATATAATCGTATAATTGTTCATATAACAGAAGTTTATATTACATAATTTCTCTACCAGAAGTAATTTTTCCTTCAATTAGTAATTCACGTTCTTTATTTTTTCATATGTTCATTAACTGCTTTCAAACTCTCTCATTTCATAATTAATCATTTTCTATCAAAATAATTTTCTATTTCTATTCATTATATTTTCTTCTATAGACGTTCAATATAAGATGCTTATTTGTTTCATTGCTCGGTTGTGAATGAACAACAATTATTAAAAAAGTATTAAATTTTGATATGTTCTTTCATTTTTGAAAATTCGCATACAAAAAACGTATCATTTATATATATTTCCTTTTCGAGTAATTTTTTGATTACCTGGTAAAGAGAAGAAAGTAAAAGACGAATACTTTAGAATTGTAAATGGAGGATACGATGATCAAAAGAACGTGTATCAATTAAAAAAAAAAAAAAAAAAAATACGTACACGTCGAGTATCTCGTACCTGCTACTTTACATTTCCGCGGAGAAATCCGAAGCACCAGACTTAGGTCTTGTGATTTCTCATCAGAACCCGTTGATCAGGCTTGATTTCTACTATCGCCACCATAGAAGTCGAAGTCTCCTTTCATCGAATGCAGAATCTCTACTTCACGAATTTAGTTTCTCGCGTTTAGTCTCGCTCTCTTTCGCAATTGAGGAATCATGTCAATGAGGAGTACACGATTCAAAGAGTGAATTAATATTGTCAATTCTCCTGTAACATGGTCAATTTGTTCTATGCTGTATTGAAATTGTTAAGCAAAACTTAAAACTAATACAAATCAAAGGAATATTAAATATATTACTTACCAGTTGTAAATTAAATGAATATATATAACAAAGTTTAAGTCTGAATTCTTTAAAGAGTTTTAACATGTGTTAGAAATGTGTGAAATAAAATAAAATCTTAAGATACACATTATCAATACTTGTATCATTATCACTTTTCGAGTCAATATATTATAGAAGTAAGGTTAAACGTTTTCGAACTACCAATATCCTCATTATCGTGTTGTCCAACAAGTAATTAGAATACTTTGACAAATAATCCAAAAATACTCACTTTCATTTCAAGATTCATTTTTGAGGATCAGAAAATTGTTATAATAACCTTGAAAAAAATAAGTAAAACTATTAGTTATATTTAGTTGACAGCACAAGTGTTTAACAATTTTTCTACTACCGCCTCTAACAGATGTAGGAAAAAGCTAATTTACCAATCGATAACATCAAAATCCCGATTTATAAGTTACTAAAATTTATAACTTAATGTAAAATTTATTAATCGGCTGGTGATAAATAATGTGTCAAAAAAAAATAATATGATATGTATCATGCTATATGAATTATCTAAATTTATTGATATAGGATGTATTATATAGAATTATCACAATTTTTGCACTGTATTTTATCATATCATATTAAACATATTTTCAAAATATCATGTTATGAAAGAGTCAATTATAATTGAGTTTGAATCTTTTTGTGTCAGTTGTAATTTAGTTTGAACGAATTCATTTAAATGAAAGTTGAATCTCTATTACAATACCTGAAGGTTAGGATTCCGTAATTAACTTCTGACTTGTCGAGCGATTTTATATTTTCAAGGAGAAATCCGAATACGAACAGAGTCAAGACTTCTCATTAGAAACTTTGATTCAACTTTGTTTCTCTCAGCTAATATATTTCGATCAAATTCGGATTCATGCTGTTTAAAATTCATCACATTTCATAACCTCGCCATTAATTTCGCTCGAACGATTCGCACGTTGATTCTATGAGACATATTATTCTCGCGAGAAACGCGCGAAAGTTTCGATCTATCTCTCGAAAATAACGTTTCCTTTCTATAGAGAATAAATTTCGTATCTTCGTTAACTACTTTACAAGCACAAGATATTCTGTAAAACAATGCCGTCACGAAAATAAAATATCGAATTTGAATGTCGTTTATCGAACTAACAAAGAATACTATTTTATATAAAAAAAATCTATATAATTTTATCAACAGCTGAACACTTTATTGAATAAAATAACACTAAAATCGACTCTTGTCCTAATAAACTCGTTAGATACCTCCTTCATGGCATAAAAAACGGTATTGCATCGCGAAATTGCATCTCATTCGTGGTTGCAAAGCGTTAAAATAGAAACGAGCTCTTCGGCAACGGTTGCACATAAAATTTTGGCCCCGATTTATATCGCACCACCTGTTAGGTGTTCGCAGCTGCCTCCTCGCTATTACGGGAATAATAAAATTCGTTCACAGTGTAGAACATACGATAGCTGTTTTCGCAGGTGCTACTTCGACGAGACGAATACTATTATACAATTTCGACTTTTTGTTCCTCTTTGCTCACCGCGCATATCTCGTTAGAATTTGTTTCTAATCTTAAAAGTAATTTTGATCGCGTAATTTCTCGTAGTACGAATAAACTCGTCGTTGCACAATATTTTGAACCGTCGAGTCGGAATTAAAACAAAACGAGGAGATCGAGCACGAATCAAAGGTAATATCGCGACGAGAGTTGCTCAAGACGGTCGATATATTGCGTTTTCCAAGACAAATTAGAGTGGAAGGTAGATGCGATTTGTTGAACGAAGGCGTGCGATCTTTACGAGAATCGTGCATACGTGCGCGGAAAGAAGGGAGCGTGGGAGTTCGACCTGGGCTCGACCAGGGAAATCGAGATCACGTGTATAGCAATGCAGCCACGACGAGTACACACTGCGTTCACTTCCTTCAGTTCTGAACTTGTTTCCTAGCATTTACGTTTATTACGTAAACCTGCCTTTGTCCGCATTTCTCCAGGCGACCCGATCGAAAACTTCGCTTCCTCATCGAGGAAAACTCACAAACTAACCTCTCGCGATGCAACAAAAGTTGCAATTTTTTCCCGCCTGATGGCGCCTGATGTAAATAAATTCGATATAATAAAAACAGTGATTGAGACGCGGTAATTATAGCGAGGCGATTCTCGATGCTATTGGCGAGTCTCGCTTGAAAATTAGAGCCCTTGGATAAACGAATAACCACCAATTATCACGATCTTCCGTTGGTTGAGAACGATTGCCTTTCCCCTTTGAAAAGCGCCATCTCGTTAAAGCGTTCGTCAAAACGGTTTGCTTTCCATAGACTCGCCGCGCTATACTTTCGTTCGCCCTGTCATTCATCGTGAAACGAATAGTTAATATCGAAGAGGATTGAGCACGGTTCTGTTTTTCCCTTTTGTTTGGTGTACACTCGAAGCAACATCAGATAGGTCTGTAATTAGAACGTAGATAACGCAAGTCCATTCGGTACACTCTGACCACGATCGTTGGCAATTCTATCGGTATTTGCCAACCTACATACCTAGACCGTGGTTCTCACTTGTCGGAGAAACTTGTGGTGAGACTTATCGCAGGACACGAGTAAGCCGTTCCGCGACGTCGATCTCGCGACCAGTTTATCGAGTGAAAAGCATCGATGTTGGTACTTGGAACGCTGCGAAGATAACCCGGCTAGGCTGGAAAAATTCTGAAATGGAACGCACGCGAACAGTGTAAGGATTTTATCGGCCAAGGTATCACAGGTTTTTGTCCATGGTATGTGCTCCCTCCGTAATCTGACCGATCCAGGTTAATACCATTGATAATTGCATCGATGATCTCATGCTATTCGGCGTTGTAAAATTTTTCCCACTGCAAAATCAACCTAGTCGTTAATAGTTTTATGCTCGTCGATAATTAAATCGACGTGCAACATACTTTCCGCCTGAACAAAAATAGATATATTTAACTATGGATATTATTTACAGAGAAATTTAGCTTAATTCGATTCTGATTCGAACAGAAGTTTGTATGTATGTAGAATATATTGTATGTATGTATTATATGTAGAAAATAATAGGTCATATATTTTTCAATTTAAAATTTTATTTCACGCCATTATTGAGTTATGTTTAAAAAGCAAAAAAAAAAAAAAAATAAGCACTAAAATGCGTTGATTTAAAATAACATTCGGTTGATTTTCTAGTATATTCTCCAACAATTCATTTATCGATTCTTTCGCTTCATCGATCCTTTGTACGAGCAAGTTCTTTCAGAACTCGTGACACGCGTTCCCAAACACGGATCGTTCTCGGAATGGAAAAACGGTTCTGTTATAAAAAGAAACAAGACTCGTGCGATTAACGGCGATGCTTTCACCGTTGTTCTTAAGACTTAGAGATCGAAAGAGCTAAGAATCGAAAGAGTCGCTTGGCAAGAGCGTTGGCCGCGCAACTTCGCTTTCTAGAGGTTGTGATCATCGGGTTACAACAAGTAATTTCAAAACGGATCATCGAAGTACCGTTCATTGGACAATTTAGACGAGTTTTTCGACCGGTGGAATATTTTATTGAATCGATAATAATTAAAGGCCTCAAATATATCACTCACATATTACTCATTTACTATAGTAACGAGATAATTTAAAAATTTTTTAATTGTTGAAATACTTATTATCGAGTTTTCAATTTAAAATTTTAACATGATATCTTTATGAATTTTTATTGAATCATTTATTTATTTGCAGGGGTAAATACGCGACAGTGAAAAGATGTCGAGAGAGATCCAGTGGGAGACAATGGGCCGCAAAATTTTTACGGAAGAGGAGACGAGCGCAGGAATTAAGAGCGGAAGCGCTTCACGAAGTCGCGGTGCTGGATGCTGCGGCGAATTGTTCCCGCCTGGTATCCTTGCATCAAGTCTTCGAAACGAACACGGAGATGGTCCTGGTTTTGGAATTGTAAGTCACACCGATTACTGAAATAGTAATTTTTCGTCTTCAAGTCGAATTTCTAAAAACGTGCAAATACATTTAAAAATAAAACTCTCGAAACTTATAGAGAAAAATGATTCTTCACGATAACTTTTTTATTTTCAAATAAATATCCATTATCATAAGTTCGAAATCGTTTGATTTAAACAATTATTATTTTTTTTTTTTTCTATTTTATCCAAAGGGCACCCGGCGGTGAATTGCAAATGATACTGGATAGAGACGAAGTTCCGGAAGAACGACAAGTAGCCAGATTGTTGAAGCAGATTCTAGACGGAATAGCATTTCTGCATTCGTTGAACGTGGCTCATCTCGACATCAAGGTGAGTCCCCTGCCCAACGATATCGGCCGCTTTGCAGCCATATTTTCGCGGCGGATAATTGGCGGAACAAAGAATTCCGGCCGCGTTCCAACGAGTCTTATCAGCGTTAACAACAAGTGGAGGCTCGATAAGAGCCGCTAGATTGTCGTTTCTGCAAACAATCCTTATCTAAATTTTTCTCGCCGAGTTGAAAAACCTTCCTCGTCGCAATTGGCGCGCGTGCGAGACTCGTTCGAGAGAGGAGAAAGGACGCGGAGGAAAATTGGAACGGTGAGAAGGAATCGAAAAGAAACTTGGCTGGCAACGGAACGATAACGTTCGCCAGCTGCCCGCCAATTTCTCGATGCATGCTCGAGCGTCGACTTATATCGTTATGTGAAAAAGTAACAAGATTTGAGAAAAAACGACGATTCGGACGCGTGGGCGACGCCGATCGATTTTACCTCGATCGATGAGAGGCGCGTACGAGGGTCGCATTAATTCCGCGTCGTTTCCACACGCGACTCGCCGCATTGTTGTCGTCGGAAACTCAACTTTCTCGCGAATTCAAATATTTTCTAGAAAGTGGAGAAGGAGAGTTTCTCGTTGGAATGCAGAGGAGGAGAGATGGATTTTTTCCCCCTCCCCCTCCCCGAGAAGACGTATCGCGTGTTATCGCGAAGAATCGTTAAAAAGGAAAAAACGGCGACGGGAGCACGTGCACGAGGAGGGAGAATCATCGCGATGGAATTCCGACGAAACTGGCTCCGATACGGCGTTTCTGCCTACCCTTAAATTATTTTTGTACGCGGCTACGAGGGAGCCCGTGTCTCGCCGCGAAACTTTGATACGAAAATAGCCCGATGAACGCCTCCTCCCTGGCCTTTTCATCCCATCGAAGAGGAGAATAATGATATGCGGCGGAAAGAACAACGAGGACGCGTGATCGTCCCTCCTTTTCTTCTCATCTTCTCGTCTATATTTGCATAATTAACTCACTTTTATCCGTCGATGGATCTCTCTCGATTAATCTCTCGATTTTGCCAATAAATCGATTGAAATTACGCTAAGAAACAGGAGGAGGGGGGGGGGACGAAGATGCATCTCGGAGGTGATAGATAAGCGGGCGCTCGACAAGCCGTGCAAGAGCGTTTTTCTTTTTTTTTTTTTTTCTGGTGACGAGGATTTACAATTTGCGACGTGTACACACTGATGACGTATACCGTGACACGGGACCAACGCAACGCGACGAAACACGAGGCGTATAGGTACACACGAGTACGTGTTTATCGATTATCGACGTGATCGATATGGGTGAGCCAAGGCGAACGAGTCGTATTAATAATATTCCTTGGGCGACACACGTGGCGAGTCGCATATTTCAGCCTTCCTGCTTTTTTCCTTCGCGTTTAACGCGGCTCGGATTATGATCGCGGTTATGCAACCCAATTACCCACCTTTCGCAAATTGATAGCAATTCGCAGCAAGATGCAGGTTACGCGACTAAATTACGAACGGCCGTTGTAATAACGTCGCGACGTTGTTGAATTCGCAAATTAAATTACCGAGGAGAAGGAGCGAGAGATGCGATCGAGATCGCAGCAATAAAGCGGCGTCGAGTTTCGCTCGTTTTAAATGGTTGGCTGGGCGCGTGACTTGACTCGAAAAACCGTTTCGTTTTATCGATTTTTCCGCGCCCGACGATTACCCATCCCTCGGAATTATCGCGAAAAGATAAGATAACGAGTTCTCGGTACGCGAAATGATCGTTATAGATTCGTTGTTATTCGTTTCGAAAAC